AAATTGTGGTTCCTGTGAGATTTTGTTTGGGCGCTATACCAAAAATCACCAACTCTTTTGAATTATTTGATGCAGTTTTCAGTCACAAATCTATCATTTTCTGTCACAATATCACTTCTATTACAAAACAGTCACCAAATATGGAACCTTGACTGGCAGACCTTTCCAACGATACGTGTTTTGTCAAGATTACAAAAAGAACTACAAAAATGTGTTTTTCTAAAACACAAGCCACAAAATCTCAGTCTATATATATATATATATATATATATATATATATGTTTTTATATCTTGATTTATACCCATAAAAGGGCAATGTATCCCCTGAGATACAAACATTTAGAGACAGATTACAAAAAATGTAAGCATTTAATTCATAAAATTTCAATGTAAACCTAATAAGCTAATGCTGAACAACAGCTTTTTAAACAGGTAAGTCCCCTCCAACATGCGTAAATATGAACTAGATCAACGTTTTTCCCACGACAGGCGGCCGTGCAGGTTTAAATGCTTTCTATGAGCCAAACACAGAATGTAGAAACTAACTCACCTCATCTAAATACAGTATTCACAACCTTTCAACATGAAACCAAGAAATGAGACCTACACTTTCCCTACTTCTCAAATGTTTGTGTCCCCAGGATACATCGCCCCTTTTAGGGTTCAATTGGTTTTATTATAATCACATGAAACTTTTCCTACAATTCTTAAGAGCTTAGTATCATTTATAAAACAGCAGGAAGCAGCAGCTAGGCAATACACTTATTTATTCACATAGAAAAACACCTGAATAAGAAAGACCGCATCAGTATATCAGTGTCTGATGTGAAATGAACAGTGATGATTTGGGGTGTGCTGGTCAGTATCTCCTCTGCCGGGGACTGAAGACGGTGCTGGGGTCTCTGTCTCGCTCGCGCTGGCTCTCGGGTGATGAGGGCTTCTCCACGCCGGCGGGCCGCTCTTTACCGCTCTTGAACAGATCTCGACCCGTGCGCAGAATCTGCTCCTCCATCCTCCTGTGCCGCTTCATGTCCGACAGCACCTTGTCCAGCCGGGCCTCGCGCCTGACCGCAGAGCGGGCCGAGGATCCTGCAGAACACAGCTCAGCATCACTCACCAGACCTGCACACATCTGCGGAGAACAGCCGTGTTATACCTGGAGTCCTGCGGCGGCTCAGAAAAGAGTTCTTGGGAGTCATCGTCTGTTCCTCATCGAAATCAAATTCAGTTGGAGTGAGAGCCCTGCAGAGCGTAGCAATAATCAATACATATTTACATCACATTATCATTTAATGTAACAATGTACAATATATGCACACAAACGGGGTTTATATACGTAATTATAGTTACAATTTTAAGTCTCTTCTGTTCACCACGGCTGCATTTATGTGATCACAAATACAGTTAAAAACTGTGAAATATTATTATAATGTAAAACAGCTGTTTTCTCTGTGAATCTCTGTTAGACTGTAATGTATTTCTGTGATGTGCAGCTGTATTTTCAGCATCATTACTCCAGTCTTCAGTGTCACATGATCTTCAGAAATCAGTATAATATGCTGCTTTGCTGCTTTTAGAATTATTTAAAGTTAATAGCTGCTCAATTATTAATAATGGTTCATTATATCACTACTTAAACAGATGTACCGCTTGATATTTTTGTGATCTATTTTTTGCAGGATTCTTTGATGATTAGAAAGCTTTTAGTTTTTTACATATAAATCTTCTGTAACATTATCAATGTCTTTACTGTCACTTTTGATCAATGTAATGTGTCCCTGCTGAATAAAAGTACTAATTTCCTTTAGAAAACTCTTTTGAATGTTAGGGTTTCCACAAAATATTACGTGGCAAAAACCATTCTAATAATATTTCACTGTTTTGACTGTATTTTTGATCAAATAAATGCAGCCTCTGTGAGCAGAAGAGACTTTGAGAAACATGAAGAATGCTGAATTATGCTAGATATATATATCAGCGTATATCTGCCTGACTTGCGCTGGTCCTCCTCCTGCGGCTCCTGCGAGGCGTCTCCGTCTCTCTCAGGCGAGGGCGTGCGTGCAGGGGTCGGAGGTCGGCGTGGAAGCGGCTCCCACTTCAGCTCCAGCGGTTCTCCTTTAGCCAGGATCTGGTAGAGCCGCTTGATCTCGTGGGGCGGAGGCATCCAGCTCCTGGGCTCCTCCATCTCCTCGTCACTGTATGGGATCTCCCAGTCTCCGCTCATCTCTCCATCCTCCTCCACGCAGCCTTCCTCTCCTTCTGCATCGGACACATTCAGAGTGGAGAGTAACTAGTTACATGTAACGGAATCACGTCATTTAATTACTAAATAAATGGGTTGCACTTTATTTTAAGGTGTCCTTGTTACAGTATAATTATACCTTAAAGTACTGAGTAATATTAATTAACTACATGTTCTGTCACAGACAGGTGTGGAGTGCGTACTTGTGTCGTCCTCTGCTGTAGCATCTTCATGCATCTCCTCGCTTCTTTCTGGCTCCTTTTCTTCCAGTTTTCCCACAGTTTTCTCCTCCTCACTGACTCCCATCGCCTCCTGCATCGCCTCTCCTGCGGGGAACAGAGCTCAAACTACTGACTTCTACATACACTACATGGACAAAAGTATTGGCACCCCCTTCTAATGAGCAGGTTTGACTACTTTAGTAATTTCCATGAGTACCGATCTTAATATTTGAGTATATAATGCTATTCTAGGGAATTGTGTGCTTCTAATTTTATAGAAACTGTTTGGACAGAACTCTTTTCTATTCTAACACGACAATGTTTCTGTGTACAAGACAAGGTTCAGAAAGAAATGATTGATTGAGTCAGTGTGGAAGAACTTTAAATGCAGATCTTGAGCCAAAAACTCATCACCAAACACCAGTGACATGTATATATGGACAAAAGTATTGGGACACCCCCTTCTTTAGAACAGAAAAAGGCACTTCCAAAACTGTGGCAACATAATTCATGTATTTAAAAATTGTATTTCCATCTCTGTTGCAACAGTATTGGAAGTGTCTAAAATGAATGCACCCATGTGTACAAGACATCAGTGTTTGGTGATGAGTTTTTGGCTCAAGATCTGCATTTAAAGTTCTTCCACACTTACTCAATCAATCATTTCTTTCTGAACCTTGTCTTATACACAGAAACATTGTCGTGTTAGAATAGAAAACAAAACTCCTGTCCAAACTGTTGCTGTAAAATTAGAAGCACACAATTCCCTAGAATATCATTATATGCTTAAATATTAAGATCGGTACTCATGGAAATTACTAAAGTAGTCAAACCTGTTCATTAGAAGGGTGCCAATACTTTTGTCCATGTAGTGTACATCAGTTCCAGAACAGTTGCGGTTCGCTGAGCATCATTCAGAAACATTCAATATGATTATTAATATTGCACAGAAATGAAGGGGAGGAGGCAAACTTACAGCTGTTTTCCCACTACTCTTATAAACAGCTGCGCGGAATAATAAGAAGCATCAGTGTGCGATTATTATTTCAGTGAATAATACTGTATTCGTTATTACGCTCATTGAGCGCTGTTGTTTATCTCGGCGCTCTGACGTCACTCGTCTCAGGACCCGGATGAGCGGATCCGCCCACAGCGCCACCGCGCGCTCGAATGGAAGACACACAACCAGTGTTTTCCCGCGGAATACTTTAAAGGGGTCATGAACTGCCTTTGTTTTATTTTATTTTATTTTGTACTGTTCTCTGAGGTCCACTTATAATGTTATCAATATTTTTACATCAGTAATAGGCTATTTTCTGTCCTGTTTTTGAATTGTAGACTCGGAAGTAAACGCCCCCTGCTGTGATTGGCTAATAGTTGTGTGTGTTTGACAGCTACATCCTTCACAGATGGACGCTGCTGAGATTTAGCTCAAAAATGCATAAATACTCATATCAAACCATCTGTTTAACAGTCAAAGCAATAGTGATCACATAATGAAAACAGTTACTCACCCTTGTGTTGGGACAGATCCAATATAGCCTCAGTATCGTCTTTTAGTTTCAATCTTTTGTTTTTGTTTTCAACGAATTGTGTTTTGTTTGTAAACGAATCCTCAGTAAAATGAAGTGAACGAAAGACAGAGTTCTTACTAACGCGATCTGGATGTTCATTAAAAATAAAGTTAATTCACTCTTTCCTAACATTGGGATCAGAAGGAAAGAAATGCAAACACTGTTTTTCCACAGCTTGGCACTGAACAGCGGGGCGGGGCTAAACAGGCAGCGATGTAGAATCAGTGGGTGGGGCTAAACGTGCAGTGATGTAGAATCAGTGGGCGGGGCTAAACTTGCAGTGATGTAGAAGCAGTGGGCGGGGCTACTTTGGAAATGTAACAGGTTACAGATTACAAGTTACTGTAACTATCTCAATTACTTTATTGAAGTAATGTAACTGATTACATTTGATTACTTGTCTAAATGTCTAATGTTTTCAACTGTTAATCATTTTCAAACAGAATTACTCAACACTGATTACTGTCAGAATCCTTCATCACTTGAATTAAGATTATAATAATTAAATTTAATTTGAAAGCACAGCCACCACAAAATCAGACTTACTTTGAGATCATTCTGAGGTTAAATACTGATTTAAAATCATAACAAGAAATAGTTTAATAGCTGTGATACTGGTTTTGAAATCAAATCTTTGCACAGCTAAGACAGAAAACACTGGCATCGAACAATGCCTCGGAAAAAACAGTTCATCTTTAAAAATAAAGCAAACACATAAGCACAAATAGGAAATAAAACAGTTAGTGAATAAGCATGTGTCCTAAACTGCTGAAACACTGCTGTCTCGTATTTTAAAGCAGTCACTGCAATTTATGAAAGAAATCAATCAAATCTCTATGTGTGTGAAAATATTCAGATGTAACCCGTTTGTAATTGTTAACATTTTCATAAGTAACTGTAATCGAATGACACATTTTTTCTCAGTAACTGTAACTGATTACACTAACGTTATTTTGTAACTAAATGACGTAATTCTGTTACATGTAACTAGCTCCTCCCCACTCTGTCTCTGTCTCTGTCTCTGGACTGTGACTCTGTCTCTGTCTCTGTCTCTGTCTCTGACTCTGTCTCTGTCTCTGTCTCTGTCTCTGTCTCTGACTCTGTCTCTGGACTGTGACTCTGTCTCTGTCTCTGACTCTGGACTGTGACTCTGACTCTGTCTCTGACTCTGTCTCTGTCTCTGACTCTGTCTCTGGACTGTGACTCTGTCTCTGGACTGTGACTCTGTCTCTGGACTGTGACTCTGTCTCTGGACTGTGACTCTGTCTCTGGACTGTGACTCTGTCTCTGGACTGTGACTCTGTCTCTGGACTGTGACTCTGTCTCTGGACTGTGACTCTGTCTCTGGACTGTGACTCTGTCTCTGGACTGTGACTCTGTCTCTGGACTGTGACTCTGTCTCTGGACTGTGACTCTGTCTCTGGACTGTGACTCTGTCTCTGGACTGTGACTCTGTCTCTGGACTGTGACTCTGTCTCTGGACTGTGACTCTGTCTCTGGACTGTGACTCTGTCTCTGGACTGTGACTCTGTCTCTGGACTGTGACTCTGTCTCTGGACTGTGACTCTGTCTCTGGACTGTGACTCTGTCTCTGGACTGTGACTCTGTCTCTGGACTGTGACTCTGTCTCTGGACTGTGACTCTGTCTCTGGACTGTGACTCTGTCTCTGGACTGTGACTCTGTCTCTGGACTGTGACTCTGTCTCTGGACTGTGACTCTGTCTCTGGACTGTGACTCTGTCTCTGGACTGTGACTCTGTCTCTGGACTGTGACTCTGTCTCTGGACTGTGACTCTGTCTCTGGACTGTGACTCTGTCTCTGGACTGTGACTCTGTCTCTGGACTGTGACTCTGTCTCTGGACTGTGACTCTGTCTCTGGACTGTGACTCTGTCTCTGGACTGTGACTCTGTCTCTGGACTGTGACTCTGTCTCTGGACTGTGACTCTGTCTCTGGACTGTGACTCTGTCTCTGGACTGTGACTCTGTCTCTGGACTGTGACTCTGTCTCTGGACTGTGACTCTGTCTCTGGACTGTGACTCTGTCTCTGGACTGTGACTCTGTCTCTGGACTGTGACTCTGTCTCTGGACTGTGACTCTGTCTCTGGACTGTGACTCTGTCTCTGGACTGTGACTCTGTCTCTGGACTGTGACTCTGTCTCTGGACTGTGACTCTGTCTCTGGACTGTGACTCTGTCTCTGGACTGTGACTCTGTCTCTGGACTGTGACTCTGTCTCTGTCTCTGGACTCTGACTCTGTCTCTGTCTCTGACTCTGTCTCTGTCTCTGTCTCTGGACTGTGATGGAGATGAGAGGAGAGGACCGCAGCAGTCTGATGTTTGTGTTCTGTTGTATTCAGACTGCAGCCCAATGTTGACACGAGGCAGAAGCAGCTGGCGGCCTGGTGTTCTCTCGTTCTGTCCTTCTGCAGACAGAGCAAGCTCTTCACGCTGGACGTGCTGGAGGCGCAGGAGAGCGCCGTGTTCAACAACAACAGAATACACAGTATCCTTAGTTTCATGCTCTCTGTGTGAGGACGGGACACGCTGTGGCTGAATCAATCATTTTGTCATGCATGTATTTCTCATAACTTGTGCTGCTCAGGAAAACTTTCTGTTGAAGCCATACAAGTAGTTTTTGAGGAACTGAGGAAAACAGGTGGGCTGACGCATGCATTGACAAGCAGAGACCGTTCCCAGTGTGAAGATGGATGTTAGAATTATTTTGATCTTTGCTTTGGCTCAGGAAACCTGGAATGGTTGGATAAGAATAAATCCCGATGTCTTATAATGTGGAGGAGGCCAGAGGAGTGGGGCAAACTCATTCATCAGTGGGTGAGAATATACAAAAGTCTCTTATGCTTACTAAAACTGCGTTTGTTTGATGAAAAAGATGAATATTATTACATTTCATAAATTTAAAATATTTTCTATTTTCTATGTGAATATCTGTTAAACTGTAATTTATTTCTGTGATGCGCAGCTGTATTTTCAGCATCATTACTCCAGTCTTCAGTGTCACATGATCTTCAGAAATCATTCTAATATGCTGATTTGCTGCTCGAGAAACATTTCTGATTATTAGCAATGTTGAAAACAGTTGTGCTGCACAATATTTTTGTTGAAACCGTGATAGGTTTTATTATTGTTTTAAATAGAAAGTTCAGAACAGCATTTATTTGAATCAGAAATCATCTGTTACATTGTAATTAACTTTACTGTGACTTTTGATCAATTTAATGCAGCCTCAGTGAACAAGTATTAATTTCTTTAAAAAAATAAATAAATAGAAAATCTTACTGGTGCCAAACATTTGAACATATTTACGTACAGACATACCATGAAAAATCATAACTGAAAATAGTGTTATGTTCAATGTGTTATTTTAAATACATTGTCTTTTCTAATATTGTTAAATGCAGGTTTCCAAAAATGGCATGGTCAACTCAGTGTTTACTCTTTATGAACTCTCTAATGGAGATGACACAGAAAAGGAAGGTATTAAATATTTCATGTTTCCATTGTACATTGCACTGTATCAGCAAAATGGTAATGTGTCTCTGCAGAACTATAACTTTACTGTGAAAGCAACAGTTCGATGAACTCCCCTTAGTACAAACCTGATGAAGAAACAAACTCATCCTGATCTGGGATGACCCGAGGGTGAGCACAGTACTCCTGTGTTGATCTCTGATGAAGTGTATAACAGGCCTGTATCTTTCAGAGTTTCATGGCCTGGAGGACTGGATGCTGCTGCGTTCACTGCAGGCGCTGCAGGCTGATGGGAAGGCAGAAATTATCTCTATGGATGATGGAAAAGGTGTCAAGTTCTTTTGAATCAGGCTTTCTGAAGTCAGACTTTGGGGAGTGTTGGGTTTCTATCAGCCCGGCATCGCCTCAGTTTTCTCCACTTGGGATCTTTTACTTGCACTCCGCTACGAAATCAAGTGGTTATTTGGCACACATGAGCCCGAACTAAATTAAAGGGTCGGTCTTGTTGGAACAAGTTTAAATCGGTGGTTTTACACCTGACATTTGAGCCGAATAAAGTCGTTCCTAACCATTAAGCGAACAAAGCGACCAAAACTAAGGAATATCAGTATCTTAATGCAGACCCAGACTAAATGTGTTTTTGTGTACATATGTTTTTGTTCCGCTCCTTTTATTGCTGTAAATCCCGAAGGACTCTCGTTCTACTTGAATATTAGTTCTGTGTAGAACCACAAAGCTAAAAACCGTCTTCTGATCTCAGACACGCTTCGTGTTCTCGAGTAAACTTCTGCGGAATTCATATCAACATTTTGCTGAAATCTGGCAGCATTCACTCCTTCCCCGGCTGTCACTGTTCTTCTCACCTTTTATACCGATGTAATACTGTACAAATAAACGAGGGAGACGTTTTCAGTTCTCTCAACACTCGCTTTGTGTTTGTTTTGACTGAAGAGCGCATGTGCTATATGTTTGATTTTCATATACAAGTCTCGTGCTCGCCAGCATCTGCTTTATGCTTCTAATGGAAGAGTTGACATACTGTAAGGCAAAGCATTTTGCTGAAATCTGGCAGCATTCACTCCTTCCCCGGCTGTCACTGTTCTTCTCACCTTTTATACCGATGTAATACTGTACAAATAAACGAGGGAGACGTTTTCAGTTCTCTCAACACTCGCTTTGTGTTTGTTTTGACTGAAGAGCGCATGTGCTATATGTTTGATTTTCATTAACAAGTCTCGTGCTCGCCAGCATCTGCTTTATGCTTCTAATGGAAGAGTTGACATACTGTAAGGCAAATATTATTATTATTATACTGTTGCTTATGGTTTGGGTTTTTCAACGTAGTCTCTCAGATGTCTACAGAAATGTTTAAATGACTAAGATCCAATACCCATGCATTTTAGAATGATGCTTTTGTGCACTCGATGCTGAGTCACTTTTGCTCTCTAGACTGTTCTGAGGGTTCTGTGGAGTAATCCTCTGTATTTCCATTTATGTGGATGTGTGTAGAGTTAGTCTGAAGGGGGCAGTACAGTCAAATCTTTCCTCGTCCTCCAGACTATCAGTGCTTTCCCATTAAACCTGGTCACCCGGGCGTATGCCAGGCTTTCTGCAATTTCAAAAACCTCAAAATCAATCTGCAGAAGCAGAAACTAAACACTGAATTGCAGTCTGTTTGTTTGAGTGACACACTGGTTCAGCCAATGGCCTGGGTTTAGGGGAGGGGCTACGGTTTTGACGGACAGGAGAACATTAATCAGTTTTCTGTTCAGTTTGGCTCATAAATTACTTGCTTCACATGCACTAGACCTGATATGCTATTATTCAGATGAGTTACATGATTATGATGAAGTGTATGAATGTGTTACGAGTCGATTAGTGATATAGTTTTATGTAATTGAAATGTATATATAGTTTTGCACATCAGTGCTGGTTAATAACTGATTACTTGTAATCTGAATTATGAAGATTGCAAAAATTAATAATTCATAATGTTAGTAAATTATGTCTGATGTCGGTTAATGGTCACATGTCATTTGGGTAAAAAAAAAATAATTTTTTTAATTAATTTATTTATTATACATAATAAATATACACAGCACACACATTATGTAAACAAAAACTTTTATTTTGGATGCGATTAATCATTTGACAGCACTAATATATTTATATGATATACACAAAGAATAGATAGATAGAAATTAGATGATTAGCTTTTCATGAAGTCATGATAAAAATGTAATATATTTTATTTCTTTATAATTTAATATATTGTATTTTCTGTGTAGGTTTTTCATATATAGTTTCTAGTTTTTTTATTTAGAAAATATTTTCTGATGTGAATATGGTACAAAAAAAAATCCTAATCAAAAGCAAACTAAAAGTAATCAGAATACAGTACCTAAAATGCGTAATCTAATAGATTCCATCACTAACAGCAGTTTTCATCATGCAGTATTTTGTAAGTAATCTTCCCAGCGCAGGTTTTATCTGTAGCTGAGCTGCTGAGTTCTCACAACTGATCCAGCCTTTTCCTTTCTCCTCATGTTTTGTCTTGATCTCTCTCTCCTTCTGTCTATTTTGGTCCTCGCTGATGTTCCTGAGATATTGGTGTGCTGGACTAGGTACAAGCTTCTTCAGTTCTGCCTTTGTTACGTAACCAGCTGGGCTCTGCAGGAGAGATGAAGGCAGCCACAGAATGACAAGCAGCTTCTGATTCATCGAGCGTCAAGATGCTGTTCGTCAAAAGCAAAGCTCACTCTGACAGACTCGAGCTGGAGAAGGAGTTTGATTAGCTGTGATAACACTGACAGACGTCTTAACTCTTAAACTCCCAGCTTTCTGTGTTCTCACTGTGTTCTACGGCAGGGGGCGCTATTACACATCTTCTGAAAGATTACTGAATCTCTGGATCAAAGCATGGCGAAGAAGAAACAAGCGATTATATAAAATAACAAATCATCAAACTTTAATCATTATATAAATCAAAATTGCCTAACATTACAGAATGAAATAGTGAGTGTTGATGGTCTATATTTTGATCATTATTCCAGACATAGTTAAAACTAGTCTCAAAAATGTTGTTTTATCAGCTTTTTGTTCAAAATGTTGCAATGTTTTTTTTGTTGAAAATTGCCCACATTCAAGTGTTGATAAAAATAAGAATGCATGAAGCTAGAATACAACTTTTTTTTTTTTTAATGCAGGCACTGGCGAGAAACGCTGGCAGGGAAAGAGTTAAAATGATTAATGAATATTTATATTATTAGCAGTTCACCAATATTTAATTCTAATAATAGCACTTAAAACATGAGAATATTATTTATAATTCATAACAAAATTATTTAACCAGAAATAAAAAATGTAAAACTTTAAAAATAAATCCTTTATAATCTTAAAATAATAATATACCTTTATTCTTACGTATTAAAGTTCAACACAACTTATTCTTTGCGCTGCAGACCTCAAATCTGTGGCTTGTTGTCCGGAAGTGTACATTTTAATCTCAATATTAACATTTAAGAAAGATTGTGTAATTAAGTTGAGAAAGAACACTGTGTGATGTTACTTTTTCAAGCAGCCAGACGTTTGTTTTGACTGGTGAGCAATAAAATGAGCTAAAAAACCTCCTCTAGACTTCCCCGAGAGGTACATGTGAGAATGCAATCATCATAAGTTCCATTGAGCGCTTTACATAACGCTCACCTCATTTGATTTAAGATTATTGAAATTGAGAACAACAATTTCTAGATCTAGCAGAAGAGGCCAGAGAAGACGCTGAGTGCGAGACAGAGGTGAGGTCTGTCATCTGGGGGCGTCTTTAATGAGAGAACTTACGCAAGTAACCCAGAGAAACACTCGGCCTGCTGCATGGAGTAATCTTTCATCTGGGAAATATATAAGTGAAGATGCAGAAATTAAGCTTTAGAATACAGAGTGGGAGAAAGCAGTGAGTTTGATAAGCGAGCTGAATGTTTTGTCGTCCATGTCGACGAGGCCTTGAAATGATGTAGAGCGTTATTGTAGCGCGCTCCTGATTGTTGTCCTTGTCTTGAATCATTGCTTTCAGATTACTGCCATAACCGTGTATTAATATGCCGTATTCCTGCTGTGATGTTTAGGGTTGCAGTGGAGATGTCTGTGGCTCATCTGTGTGATTCTCTGATCGCACATCCTCAACAGCAGCTCGCAGATCAGTCCAGGTCTTTGCTAGAACATTTTGTACAGTAGCAGCTGCTTTGTTTGTACCTTTATTGTGACAGAGAGGCTGTTTGGTGTCAGATTGATGGAGTCTGAAGTGTAGCAGAACATATAATGACTGTCAGTGCTTGTCTTTCCGTATAACTCCAAATTGAGAATTTCAGACCTTTGCATTAATGAAATTTTACATTTAAATTGAACATGCCAATTTTTGCAGCAAAACATAAGAAATTGCATTACCTATTCTGAGCAATTATGCTTATCGGATCTGTCAAAGCAATGATCAGCAATTTTTACATACAGTGTTTTAATCCTAGAGCATTTAACATATACTGTGTTAAAAGATCATTTTCATTTTAAAGGGGTGGTTGACTGTTTTTTTTTCTAGGCTTGATTGTGTTTATGGGGTGCAGTCTAACATGTTAATGCTTCATTTAAAAAAAAAAAAAACGCATTATTTTTCACATAATTTAGCTGTATTCTATACCGCTCTGTCTCTTCTCCTATAAACGCTCCGATGATTTCCTGCTTTTATGAAGCCCCTCCCTCAGAAATACGTGATGGGCTCTGATTGGTCAGCTGGCCCACTGTGTTGTGATTGGCTAAACCGCCAGTGCAGTCCAGAAATGCCACACTGAAACTTTTTCAAGACTCTTTCTCTGATTGCTTTGGAAAATTTGTTACTATTAGCAATGAATCATTATTCAAATGTAGCGTTAGAACCGTGAATCTATTTGCATATCAATAAAACGCGTTAGTATTTGAATGTGCATGTGGTTAATGAGAGCGCCCCCGGTCTAGGGCGAGAAGCGATGGTCTTCGGTTATCTGGTTCTGTGAGAATATCCACTCAATCTTACCCCTGGATTGTTTGATTCAGTCGGTTTAGTGGTAGCACATTAAGAAGCTTTGAAACTCTCTAACCTTTCCAAACATTCATTACTGTTCACAGCGGCAGCCGGCTGATCCTGGCCTCTCTCAGTCCTGCTGTGCTTTCAATATTAATTAAACTCAATATGGCACTGTCACTGATCCAACCAATGCATCGCAGCAGAATACTGTAGACCCTGCTGCACACACAGATATATTACTCTTAGTTTAGCCTCAAGCTTAGTCTTATCGCAGGTCAAATTCAATTCTTAGACTTGACTTTTGCTTACACCATGTCTGAACCACAACATGCCATTCGACAAAAGTTGTTTTTCAGTTTTTGTCCCTACCAGCCTTAGCAAGCGATAAGAAGAAGGGTGTTTTGTCGATCGTTTGGTTTGTGTTCTGGTTAGTGCACAACTTTGCACCGTGTAGCCCCGCCCACTGTAAAACCTCATTGGTCCAAAGCCAAATATGCAAATAGTTTCGAATCCTCTGACAAACTGTTTAGAAATCACATCTATCTATAGTTCTGTCTGCCTTACAGTCATTTTATCTGTCGTTCTGTCTGTCTGCTGTTCTGTCTGTTGTTTTATCCATCCATCCATCCCGTTCTATATTCTTCTATAGTTTGTGGTGCTTTTTTAGCTGCTCTCAATATGCTGATATTCAGTAACATAAAAAAATAGGGTACTATTGCAATTAAATATTTGATTATAGGAAGTAGAGTATATGCGTCAGTGTTTCCCCAAATGTACTAAAATGTGTGTGCTAGAACCACGTTTAATGTGTGAATACCTGCTTGCTCCATCCATCCATCCGTCCATCCATCCATCCATCCATCCGTCCATCCA